TTCCCGAAGTCGCAATTTTTGAGGTAGGGGAGAGACCTTTGAAATGCATGAGCGTAATATCAATGTTATTTACATGTGATAACAGGTGCTGTACCATTGATTGATTGTATCTGAAGTCATTATTTACATTGCCCTTTACAACAATACACAGTTACAGTTTAAAAATTCGTATAAAATTGTTTTGCTGCCCAAGAAAAAACTCTTATCTTAGTAGTAGAGTACGCAAATTTCGCAAAGTAATATTGAAGAGTTTGAGATATTTGAATATGGAATACAATGGAAATTTGTTTTCTGGAAGAGCGCGCTTTTAATGTTAAAATTTTTTTCTTTAATAACAATTTCAGGAACACTACCTGTCGACAGAATGGTTTATAAGAATATGTCAGTAGAATTTTTGAAAATCATATATTTAAGAATGAACAAATATAAATAGTTCAGTATTATATATTCTACTATTATATGTATCTTCTGACTTAATATTGAACTTAAATGCTAATCTTACAATTATATCTAACAACACATGAATAGGAACCTCACAGAGCACCTACGGGATTAATTGAGTTCTGAAAATATGCTGAGGAATGAAAATATTGAATATCTACTTTTCCTTCTAGTTGAAAGCTGGTAGGTGTGGCTTAGTCGTAATGGGTTGCTTGGGCTATTGTATTTATTTTGAAGAAGAAATTGTTAGATTGGAGCGCAATATGGGGAACTATACAGGGTAAATTAAACTCTTAGTGCAGTTGAATGTTTGAGATAAACCAGAATGCATGAGTGGGAAGTCTAAGCAAATGATTTTGGATGATCTGTAATATATTGGTGTTATATTTAGATGCATCGATACATCGTAGGACATGCATTAAGCATCTAATTAAAGATTTGATGACATTGTTTAATGAGAGCTTACTATTGTGATTCTAAAGTTGCTTGAGTTGAATTAGTGTTATTTGTAGAGTGCTGTGATTTTACTGTTATGCGACTTTTTCGATTTAGTCTGCTCTCAAGATTCAGGAATAGATATTTGACAGATTCATCGTGTGAGGTCCATATAATTGGGTGATCGTTTATTGGGAGTGAACTTGGGATTGAAAATGTTCTTAATGAAAATATTCTGGCGGTTGATTTTGTAGGATTGAGTTTGATTTTCCATTTAAATGACCGATCATCAATTTTGTTTAGATGTGTTTGAATTTGTTTACAGATTAAATAACTTGAATGATTGTACATAAAAATGACGGTGTCATCAACGGATTGAGCGATGTGTGTATGTGAGAATGTCAGCTGTGTACACTCTACACGAGAAAAAAATTGAAGGCAACTCTGATAAATATAAAATTAAATTGCATTACCTTCAATCACAAACTTGCAAAATCCACTTATTTAAAAATGTACTTTGAGAACATTGAAAAAATCTCTAAAATAGATATTGCATTTTTACTGTGTTAATTTTGTGTGCAATTTTCGAAAATATGGAGAGTTCGCAAAAAGCGATTCGGCACCACGGCTTATAGTTTTCTCTATACGCGAAGAAAAAATTAGCCCTTTTTGGGAGAAACTATTTAAAAATTGCGTAATTTCACGCAAAATTACGCTAAAACTAATGTTTTTCGAAAATTAAACATGGTCTTATTTTAAGACCTTTGAAGATCAAATCTGTACCTTCAATACTCTAGTAAAGACTCCGAAGAAAAATTGAATTGCCGCATTTTTCTATTTAGAGAGTTCAATGAAAATGAGAACTGAACCATTTCTTTGTGTCCTTCGCGATATCCGAGAAAAAGGATGAATAAAAAATTTCAAGTCATTTTTGTGAACATTTTGGAAATATTGACGAGGATTCAAGTAAAGTTTTCTCATTATTCACAATGTCTGTTTCAAACACTGGATCTTGTGTTCTATTATGCCTATTAAAAATTTAAAATTTTGAAAAAATTGTCAGAACGTTGGAGGTGCTAGCGTTGACCCCAGACAGGCAACTAAGACGTGCAACCGATCGGTTTTTCTGTATCGCGGTCCATCAAACGAAGATTCACAAAATGTTTAGAAAGCAGTTTACTTCATGTAGGAACAAGATTTATCCAGATTATCTTAATTAGAGACCTCAAGTGCTAGTTTTGGGGGCGAAAAATTGGCTATTTCTGCCACGCAGTACAATAATGCTCTTTAAGATAAATTAAAATTGACCTTTATTTGCCATCCTTCTATTATATTTTACACTAATATTAATATTCAATAACCATTTCTTGTAAATAAGCAGCAGCTATGTAATACGTTAATGCGCTATTGACTACTAATGCGGACAATAATTTAAGAATTGGACATCATAGTAAGGAAACAGGTATCAGAATATACTATGATGATCCAGAAAACACTCTGGCTAATAATTACGTCACTTGCGAGGCGTACCGATATGTCAGCTGACTTATTTCAAAGGTGATGCGATTTGGTTTCACAATTCGTATATTCTATATTCGAACTTCTGCATTCAGAATATTACAAACAGTAAAATGGCACATAAAAAATTGCATATACGAGTCTTACACGTCGGGATATATTTTTGTTTTTACCTTTCTTTCCATTTTAGCCTTCCAAAATTTTACATTAGCCTGAAGTAGTTTTTTTTTCAAAACTAATACGTTTTTAAAAATATTTTTTCAATAAAGCCATCATTCCCAACTCCCACAATAACAGAATTCCCATTCTCGGTTGCTTTCGTATCCATTATTGATATGAAATGAACTGATCAAAATACTCAACAAGAGATATTCATTCATTTATATAGTGTTTTCTCACATATTTATTGAAAATTGGATTTTTCGCCTAGAATAAACAAATTCGAAAACAAATAGTGAACATATGAATGCTTTTACTGTAAGTAAACTAACGCGTAACGAGTACTCTGTAGGCGCGATAGCAACAGTCACTTTTTTATGTAAATTATACGAAATAGTTAGCATATAATGGAATAAACAAGACGTACTACAGAATACAGGACTTACCCATGTTGCAGAATTTCCTCTTCTCTTGAGTTCGAGCTACCTTTCTTCATTTTGCCCACACCGTCCTCCACGTTTCTTATCAATCGGCACATAAATCACCTAGGAGCAATGGCGACTGCTCCTGAAGAGTTAAGTTGAAGAAAATATTAAGCTTGCAATAAATCGACTCGTTTAATTTGCTCATGTTTGAGGACGAATTTAGTATTTAATGCACGATTGAGCGAAAGATAAATGCTTTTGGAATGGGTTGTATCATGGACCATCACGTGTCATCCGTAGCTTGTGCATGTGAGTCAATGGAAGCTTCAGGAAAAGTGGGGGTACTCTGAGCTGGGTAGGGGCAGCGTGCTGCTATTGAGGTTTGTTCGGCAGAGACCGCGGCTATTAACTAAGCTAAGAATACCGACCCTTTCATTTGATTTCACAAATTTCCTTTTGTCTGCGGGAAATAATTTTTAAAAAATCTCTTATTTTCTCGTGAGCACAATTGGATCTTCCGTTATCAATGTAAGTTCTCTTAGACAAGGATTAAAATCACGAAACTTGCCAATCGGTTGTACACGAGCTATAGTTCTCGTTTAAGAAATATTTTGAAGAGATAAAACGTTCAGACACGCATACAAACACAGCGGCCGCTTTGCCTAGAAGTGTATGATCCCTACAACTCTCCAGGGGGTACTACTAGTAATCAGTTTTCGTACGACTAATCTGAATGAAGAGATCCATTCAGTTCCCGAATTTCGCCCACAGTTGCCAGTCAGGCACAGATATTGTGGATTTAGGGTAAGGGTAATAAATACCATTCAGGAGGAACTTGCAATGACCTGAATCAACGAACACCACTTAAAACATTCATGACTAACGTGAGTTTTGAAGCCAACGGCTTGGTTCCCACAAAATTGGGTTCACGTGCTTTAAACTCTTGAATCACGAAACCTAATCCCTTATTCACTAAAATATTTGTAGAGGGAGGTAAATTGAAACGTTAGGGATATGTAAAAACTAATATGATAACGCTAATAATGAAAATCTGATATGTGCTTTGAAAAATTGAACATGTGAATCTGAATGACTTTCGCACCATTCGTTTCTAATGTAGCAACGCAAACCGTTACTTTCAATATTAAAATATATCAACTGTTCATTTATAAATGAACAATTTTCTCAAAATAAATTCACTCTACTGAATATGTAGTCGAGTGTAATATTTATAGTACGTGTTAGTAAGGCAATGGTTTATTATTCATGTAATACGTAGATTGAGGCATTTGTGTATTATCAAAATATTTCAGTCCTTTTAAAGTGCAATTAAAAAGTACGAATATCAAAGTAGAGTGAAATCTCTTTGTACATGCACATTTTCATTATAACTTTGGCACTTTTGTTAGAAAAAAAAAGTTTGTTTGAACGTTTTTGAAAATGGAAAAATTGGAGCTAATTTACATCAGATCTTTTCAGTTTTGAGACAATTTCATGAAAATCATTTGAAGCACATAAACTCATAAAGCAATAAATAATAAAACGCATGTAGGTTAAATATTAACGACATAATACATACTTAAACGACATGAACAACCAAAGTAATTAAGTTTATCTCCTCCTGAAAAATGTTCCTGTTTGACATTTTGAACTTCCAGTGTCGATAATAACTATTTAGTTTTAGTTCTGACTCATCTTAAATAAAGTGTATTTAGTGCCGGCCTAAATATTCAAAGTCTCTACGTCTGCAGAGCCGTAGCGGCCTCGTGCCTGAAGCTTCGTGGGTTCGAATCGCGCTCGAGGCATGGAAGACATGGACGTTTGAGTCTGTATACCGTTACCCCGAACGTTTTTTACAGCGGTCGCTGAACATCCTTGGGAGTTGAACAGCGACCTTAAGTTAAAAAAAAAAATAATTTAATTTCCCAGACAATTTTGAAATTTGCTTGAGCATGTGAACGGGACCTTACAGAGATCGACAGCAGCTGCACCAACGAAGAGCAACCAATAGTGCACTTGCAGCAAGGAGCTCTTCGAGGACGCAGAGACGTTTCGGTCGCTGGTTGCGCCTACTACAGTTTCCAAGGAATTCCTTACGCTCAACCTCCTGTAGGTGCGTTGCGCTTCAAGGTGAGTGTACACATAAGAATATATTAACTCACTCAACACATAATTAGTGCCGAAAAAGGCTGAAATTTTACAACTAGTATGTAACAAACCTGTGAGTTATACACTAACATACAAAGTAACAGGAAAGTTAAACGAAAACGTGTAATTTTTTAAGTATATTAATTACTAAAGAAGGTTAGATGACAGTTTAAACAATTTGGAAAGATAATAAGGAAAGCATACATTTTTCCTAATTGTAATGGTTTTAACATAACATTAATCCAAACCCATTTGTCTTCAAATTCGAATATTCTTAGTCCGTACCAAATATTTTCTCTTACAAAATAATAACTTCCTAGTATAACGAAAAAGTAAAAATGCCATTGAAAATACTATTTTTTTTTCAGTTGAATCTAAAATTTGATATAAATGTTTCCATTGATATACAAATAACAAAAATAATGTGAAAGTTTAACGTCCTAATGAAACAGCTCAGGCAAAACATTGCATTGGTTTCTGATAGTGATATTCAGGACGTATTACTTACTCTCGTCATACTACATGCATGTATAAGTAAGTATAAGTATACTAACTATATGTACGCTCTTGGAAACATCGGTCAAGAGACGTCGTTTGACGGGTTTCTACTCTAAACCAAAAGAAAATTTCCTTTTAACTCATCAGTGGTCACATACGGACAACCATGACAGTAAGGATGTCACATGTAATCCAAGTTACTTTGAAGCGTTATCAGCATCACCCCAGGGTCATTTAGGTTACACGTTCGGGAGGAAAGATTTTCAAGGAAAGGAATAGGAATTTTCGCCTTAACCTCTATCTTCGCTTGTAAAAGTAGTGAGATTGTTGTTCTCAGTTGGTAAGTAGCATCTGTTCAGAGTGGTGAGGTGAAGTTTTATTTGGAAGTGGCTTGATTTTGTTGTCATTAGTGAGTAAGAAAAAGTGATATTTTGAGAGAACATGTCGAGTTCTGAAGATGAACCGGTTCGTAAAAGGAGACGCGGAAAACGTATCAGCGTAGAGTCGTACTCAATGCCAGGGTGAAAGGCGAGGCATGTTTCGAACACCGGTAAGAAAGTAGATCTAAAAACAAATCAGGAAGGTATTTCATGTAAGTGCAATACTAAATACTGTATATCTATTGATGAAAAAGTAATAAATGATACCTGGAATTATTTTTATTCTCATGTATTCGAGTATTTCTTGAAGAAGTGATGTCTGTATCCTGGAAGTGGAATTTCGTGATACCGGCTGACACGGTAATATATTTATAAAATATTCACGGTAGAATAAATTATTATTATTATTATTATTATTATTATTATTATTATTATTATTATTCGGTTTTCATTTATTTAAAAAGTTAGCTTTGTATTAATGAAGGTCTCAACGCATTCTGAAGGATACTGAGGTTATCTCGTACGACGATGTTATTGGCGATACCTGCCACCGAATTGTGTGCGGAATAAATATTGTTTCCTTTCGCAGCAGTGATAAAAGTTACGAAAGGGTTCAGGCAATGCAAGAGCGTTATCTCTGAATGCATCCAATGTCAATGCTACTGAAGTAAATGCAACATTGCGGGAATTGGCAAATTTATGGGTCTAGTTTCAAAATGCGACTTCTCCACCTACGGTGAAAAATGAGATATTGGTTTCAATACTGGTCCGTTGCAATTATACGACGTTCTGTAAAATGATTTCTAACAAAACGCGTTTTTTTACACACCAGAAGGCTTTGTGTGTTTGTTAATAAATAATGTGTTAATATCAATATTTCTATGATCATTTAATTGCGAAGTACGATCTTTCCAATTCAGAAATCAGAGAACCTTGTGTCACTATGTTTTGGCGTCGTATTATATACCGGCTGAAATTTTTTAGAAATCTCCAAAAGGGCCTGGGCAGTCCAAACACCGCTGGGCTATCGTTACAAAAAGGAGCTCGTGCGGTAACATATTATTGTTATCTCCACACTACACAATGCATATTTTTAATTTCAAATACCAGCGGTCAATTTTCTAATCTCTTCAAAATTGAAATATTTGCCTTCTTCGCGAAAGCGAATTTTGACCGCTTTACGCATAAAATTGTCTAGACAAATGTAGGATGTTGTAATTTAGTGGATTTTATGACCCTGTAGTATGGATACAACAAGTACGTAGATTGGAAAACGACCTTACTGCTACACGAAGTCTAGAACACTTTGACACTGAGCCATTCTTTCGCTCTTCTAACACTCCCCTTGTAACAACACATTTTATATTATAGAAACTTGAAAGCAACGTTACGTTTACAAAAATTTATGTCAATTCAGTTTCACTGGCAGGAATCACAAAAGCCTTTTTCATCTGAACATCTACTACTTTGCTCTCAATGGAAGTTAAAGTATTTTATACGCTCTTCAATAAAATAAATTTAATATCTTTAGTTCGATGTACATAACGTAGTTTCGAAAGTAAGCGTTAGATAGCGCTGTCGGCAGGGATGTCCAGCACCATCGGGTTGTCGGGCCAAGGCATTTTCGACGCGAAACTTACTGTTTCTAAGAATGTACTTACGACTAAGTTTTGAATTGATGTGGTACAAATTGGCAATTTTTCAACAGAAAAGCTCAGATTGTGGTGTCCTGATAATAAAAAAGTGGATAACTCTGTACCTTTTTGTACTAAATTACTGTCTCTAACTCCTCCAGTCAGAACCCCAACAATTTTTTGAGTTGTTAATGCTGAAAATGGCAAAACGTCTTTATTCTGTCATCGTCAGAGAATACCCCATCAAATAATATTATTCAAAACTTTTATCCCCAGTCGATCTGGCCAAACACAACGTCTTGTGAAAATGAAATGAAGATTTTCATTTTTGGAGGTACTACATAAATTGTCAAGATATTCAAAAACATCTCCAAAAAAGTTTTTTCCTAGGTTAGACTAAAGAACGTTCAAAGCTGTCACATTTTCATCAATATTTTAGAATTTTCGTAAATGACAAAAGGACAAACATTTTTACGCGTCTTCCTCAAATATAAATTTTGTATAATAGAGATTTTATTCTTCAATGAAATCTGTTCTACAAAAATATATTTAAAAAAGGCCATGCACATTTTTTTTAAAAATTATGAGTAGTGTGGGGGTAATTTTGTGTAAAATATAGGCAAATTGTTCTCGAAAGACAGTCAAATAATACCCTGCGCATTTTTTTTAAATGTTAGTAATTTTTGCGTAATTACTTTTAAGACATGAATAAGGCAATTTTTAAACAACTATTTTCTTAAAAAACGACTCCAATTTTTTATCGTATAACGGAAAAAGCGTAAGTCTCATTTCAGTTGAACACACTGAATTTTCTAAAATAACGAAAGTTATATATACTATAATTCTAGAAATGTATTTGATGTTGTAACATTACTATCTGTCGGTTGTTGTGCAATCGCCTGGCTTGTGCTCAAAGGAAGAAAACTGAACTCCGAAGAACTTTCGGAATTTGTCAACAGTTAACGTTCGCAGTATCTTCTGTTTTATCGGGAAATATGCTCATTTTATTGCAAATTCCTTGCGAGCAGAGCAATGACGAGTTTAATGTTCTGTTCAAAGCTCATAGCATTCTATTATACGCTCGTCCCACAATCTGTCCTGACAACACTGTTTTTTGTTTTTGTTTTTCGCTCCTCGGGGCCAAGGCAACGGAAAAGAACGACCTCTTATAGTTTTCTCGGCGACGAGGTGGTGGCGGAATATTACAGTCGGCATCGCAGAAACATTACATTATTCAAAAATATTGTTCTGCAACATTTGGAAATATTCCTATTGATGAAGTTGTCACCTCATGCTAGTTATCGTGGACTAAAGCGATTATTAGGTTCCGTTTAAAAAATAGAAGTAGGGTCATTATACAGCTTTTTACCGTGTTATAACTGTATCTGGATATCTAAATCGGTTTAGGAGATATTTTCAAGATGTTTACACATCATGCAAATGGCTTTACATATTATTACTAATATTACTTCCTAAATACGACGGAGAAGTTAATCACAGACGAATAGCAATTGCTAGCAGTTCATTTTGATCTTCGGGTAAACGTTGAAGATTTTTTTCTGTCTTCAATCGGTGCTAGAATATCGTAGAATCATACGTTGCGATCTTAACTGTTTAGCAGAGCATGGCTTTGAAACTGACAGCAGAACCTCATGATCCTTTTTCTTCACGAGTATTTCTTTGAATTATTTCTCAGCAATTCAAGTTGCAACTTCCTCGGAGGATTATAATGTCATGTAATGCTAAAAATAGCCAACAAACGAGTAAAGACAGTACATTTTGGCAATGCAAAATTTACGCCCTAAAACCCAGCCAAAGGCTTAGAGGTTGTTTGATCAGTGTAGTATTTAGATTTAGATTTATTTACTCAGAAAACAGTAAAACTGTATGTGACGTATAGGAAAGACGATTATTTGCGCAAGTTTTCTTAATTTCCTGAATCCCTTCCTGTCATTTTAACTATAAATAGTTGAAAGATGAGAAAGTTTAAAATAAATAAATAAAAAATAAATTTAAAAAAGCGAGATTAGCAATATTTGAAAATAATATACATATTTGTTTCCAAATTATAGAAAACTTATTTACATCGATAAGATGAATTATCGCAATGAATTGCCAGTATAATTTTTTTGCATTGCTAAACAAATAGTAGCTCGCCCTTACCGTTTCTCCTACCATTACAATCAAAAAGAGAGTTTAACAAAACGTGCGCATAAAAGGTAAATTTACGTCCAGAAGGAAAACAAGGAACCATATCAGCATTTGCTCAATGGGTTAGGGGAACTGGACAAAAACCTGATCGAGGTTGGTTCATTTTACCGGAAACTGAAGTACATTGTTTGTTACAAACTTATTAAGTCTTTTTTAAATATCCAATACAAATGTAAACTAATTCAATATTTATCACTGTTTTGTTAAAATAAACATTAATTTTCTTTTTGATAATCAGTTATAGTCTCTAATTGTATAGAAACAGCAAAACATCTGTGAGAAGATTTTGTGCAAGATACTCATTTTTGGATCATTGACATCAAAAAGAAGAAAAAAATTTACTTTTTACTTAAATTTGTGAAGAGTCTTCAATTTTTAATGTCATCTGGCAATGCGTAGTAAAGTAACGTACATGTATTTTACGAGGATTTCTGATAGTGAGCTTTAGATACTGACCCTTGATGAACGTGATTTTACGACGTGTGTTGTAATCATAAATATTAGTATTGCATGAAAATATGTTCTCACCGTTAAGTAAGTCACTTTTGACAAATATTAGAGATTCGTAAATGTATAGGCAAGGAAGTCGTAAGATTCCAAGCTCGAGAAAGATAAGGTTGCAAGGGTAACGCGGATGGCATTTTTTCATTGTTCTAATAATTTTCTTTTATAATCTAAAGGCTGAGTACTACATGGTGAATTTCCCCAGAATTTTATGCCATACCTCAGGCAGGAATGTACATTTGCAAAGCATGTAAAAACATGAAAGCATGAAACATATTTTTTTAAAACATCGCATGAGGCGTTGCGGATACGAACGGCGAATTGAACATCTGATGAAAAGTTTTTATGCCATCACAAACCCTTCAGAGAATTTCAAGGTATATTTTTAATATTTATATTGCCCTTCTTTCCCTCCCAAAATACATAAAATGATACCAAGTTAAATGGAAACTGCCATAAGACGGCGGATACGAAAAGCCAACCCAATAACTCACTACCTTCGCTCCCCACTACTCCGCTGGAAAATGCAATCTTTCCTTTAGTTCTGAACATGAATTGACAGAGAACAAAAAGTATTAGTTTACTATAATAAAATATTTGTTTAACTGAAGTTCAAAATTCTCAACACTTGTTTACTTTTTATAACAATGGTCCGAGAAAAATATAGAGATTGTGTGAGTCCGAAAAACGCTGGGCACGTCAGTTAGTGAAATAATAAACCAAACAAGAGGCATCCCTCAACGAATATACTTTGAAAACCTTTTTTGTTGAGTTAGCCCTTATGGAAAAAGTTTCCAACGCGTTTCTCTGAACACCATGTTTCATTTAGTTCTCACGTAGGAATGGACATTTTGAAAATGCATTAAAAAAGTCACGCCTAAAATATTCCACTCGAAAGCAGTGAAGGCGCATTTCTGGATTAGGAAATATCAAATCTGCTTGGAGCATTATCTGAGAAACAAATATTGACAAATTAACTCCATATCTAGTGTTCAATGTTTTGTAAATTTATTTCCAATAATCGTAATTTACGCGATGTTGAGATTAACTTTGATTTATTTGCTCATGTACGAAGTTACATAATGCTGCAAAACGTCTGTGCGAAGATTTTGTGCAAGGTACTAATTTTTGGATCATTGACATCCAAAAGGATTTTTACCTTGTTTATACTTAGTGGAGAGAAAGTAGCGTAATTTTGACAAAACCCGATGGCGAGATGTTGACGGAACTAGAGGAAACCGCTCTGGTCTGAGCTTGAAATTGATATTTTAATTCTTCAAAACCTTTCTTTCAATTCTTTGATCGAATAGATAAATAAACGCTTGTAAAAATGGCGCAGGTCCGATTTTCATAGAAATTTTAAAAATTTTGAATATTGCAAAATTTTAACATTTTATATCGTGAGAACGCGGAGATTAATTAATTATTTGGTGCATCCGGAGGCTACTACGATCAATATTACCATTCGAGTCGTGCATGTAATATCCTAGGGGGTCTCCCCTGCTGGAGTCCATGATTTTGCGATGGATCATGAACATGTGATGTGTCTCCCTCTACTCAAGGCGAAAATTTGAAATTTTCTTTACAAACTTCAGGAGACTCTGAGGAAGTATTATCTGCTGCATCCACCGTCAATCCGTAAGCTGTTTCCTGCTATCTACCCAGCAGGGCACCGTCCCAAACAGGGCAAACTCTAAGCTTCCGACTGCTCTCTTCGCACATATCTTAAGTGAAGTACTTTTGAATGTATATGCATGTGTAAGAGGAGGGGACCAGTATTTTCTTATTAAACGTTTATATGTCTCCAAACATTAGGCAAATTTATATAGTTTCGGCACCAATTTGAGTTTTACAAACACACGCCAATTCAACTTTTTAAAAAAGTCTTCATGAACTTAATAAATAAAAACTACCGGAACAGATAATTACAGGAAATCTGCAATCAACATGGATGAGTATAATGTGCTTAAGTCGTCTGATAACATCACTGTTGTCAAGTAAGTTAATGGCGAGCATATTGGGATGATCATGAAATCTATGTTGATATTGGGCTCTGGTCTTTTTTACCCCTTTTTATAGTCAAGTTCGGCAAGTCATTGGATATAGTTACTATCGTTTAGGATATGGTATGATATGGATGATGAAGGAGATACCGCACGTGGATTGTGGCTTGTTAATGCACTGCTCTCACATTCCTCTGGCACAGACACGGAAAACTTTAGACAATATACTAGACCAACGCACGAAACCTGTAGACTGTGTTTGAAACCGATTCAGTTGTGTAGTTAACGTTAAAAATCTGCCAATGTGGAGACAACTCTAAAAGCTTCTATATCAGCCAGATCGATTGAGGAATATTAATTTTGAGGCAAATCGATTTACGCACTAGCGTAGACCACAGACGTTTGCCGTCAACCAATTTTTCAAGTACTCACAAAACATGGATTCTGGCTGTACAACGTATTAGAGGAAGGAATTTACTATACTTAAGAACAATATTTATCCACTTTTTCGTTACCAGGGGCAGGCATTAAGTGTTTTACTGTTGAAAATTCAGCGCTTGTTCCCGCAGCATTAGAATACTTTCTCTATAACGGGTAAATAATAGCGAGAATGTTAAAATGGAGCAAGTCCCATTTTTGGAGCATTGTATGTATTTTAAAAAAATTGAAAAAAGCACTAACATTAAATAACTAAAAATTGATAATAAACAAAAAATACATAAACAATTTTGATAGATTTTTTCTTTAATGAAATCTGTTTTTTAAAACAAGATTTTGAAGTAATGTAATTGAAAATATCTCAAATTTTGAAAACTGTTCATGAAAATGTTGATATTTTTAAAGCGTGAGGAAAGTTGAGTTCAGCTTAGTGGTTGGAGGCGCAGGAATAACGTGAATATCGTGATAATGACAGAAGTTGGAGTCTCAGCGCAGAGAAATAAGTTTTTCTTGTTGAAAACTTTTTGCAAGGTAATGAAGTATTATAATATTGCCTATCCGTTACAAATAATGCGCAAATGCAGTATATTCTGTTGTTACATCGCTAGTTGTCATCATTCTCAGAATTCGTAACAGGTGATCATTCTGATAAAACAGGTTACGTTATACGGCTAACAGGAACCCTATCGTTAGTAATTCAATTCTCACAACAACCTGTAAATTTTAGTCAGCCAGCAGTACTAATTAACAACTGCATTGAGTGTATTAGTAATCAATATCATTCTGCAGAATGTCTTAGAAAAACGATTAGCTTCTAGTTTTAGAACATGCCAGGGTTGGAAATGTAGACATTTTGTCAATGAAGCGAGATTGTAGATCCGTTTTCCAATAAAACGTAGTGGGAAATCTTGTACCAAAAAGTTGCACATTGACTTTTGTTTCTGACTGGTATGTTTCAGCGCTGTCGCTTGAAAGGAATATTACACTGCATCAGAACGCGTACTAACCCAATTTTAACGAAAAAAAAAGAGTCAACAACAATAAGACACAATGTCCTCAGTTAAACTTTGTTTAATGAAATTTCCCAGCGCACGTTTATTGCAAAAAGTGAACCATGATGACTCTTCATGTCGTAAGAGTTGTAAGATTAATTCTAAGACAATAACAATGAAACGTCGTTGTCGCAGGACTCTCTACCACCTGCACCTTGGAAGGGAATTCGAGACGCTGTGCAAGAAGGAAGCATTTGCCCGCAAGGGAGAGGCGACGACATCAAGGGCCACGAGGACTGCCTCTTCGTAAGTGTATACACGCCTCGAAGACCGTCGGTGCTTGGAGATCCACTGCCTGTTCTGGTATGGATCCATGGTGGCGGCTTCGAAGCCGGCTCAGCGGACGAGTTCGGCCCGGACTATCTTATCTGCGAAGACATAGTTATGGTGACCTTGAACTATAGATTGGGCCCGCTTGGTGAGTAAAACATAATACTCACATAGTTTTATTCCATTGCGTTACTTTGGGGCAAATTTTACATATTTGACTGTATCGTCCGAGCTGTAGACCAATGCTCACCTTGTAAACTGATGAAATGTCCGCCATTGCAAACTTTTGTTAGGAGCAATTTCAAAAAAATACGTTCACATTATTCATTTCAGCTCCCTTCTTTTTGAAAAGATTTTTAGTATTTACTAATTCTGAAGAATGTTTTATATACAATTATCGGCAGAGATGGCTCCGGCTAATGATGTTGTCTCTCGCGTCTCCCACAGGGTTTAGATTTTAGATTTACTTAGTCAAAAAGAGTAAAACCTGTATGTGACGTTTGGGGGAGAAGATAAACTGCCCACCTTTTCTTGAGTTCCAGAATCTCTTCCCATCATTTTAACTATAAATAGTTGACAACTAATAAAAGTTCAAAATAAACTTAAAATAATAATAATGATTAAATTTTTAAAAAGCACGAGTGTAGCGTAATTTGAAAAACTAGACATTTTAGTTCCCGAGTTGTAGAAAACTTATTTGCCACGGTAAACGAACTTCGGATTTTATTTTCTGCATTGATAACAAAATAGCAACTCGCTCTTACCTCTACTCCTACCACTACCAGCAAAAGGAGAGCAACAAATCGTGTACGTAGTGAAGTTACATTTTCTCGAAGAATCATTTGCTTAATGTATCAGGGAAATTGTGCAAAAACCTGATCGTGAGAAGTCTCATTGACCCGAAAGGTAAGACCTAGGACTCGAGTCCCGTTGTAGGTAGATCGTCGATTCTAGATAGGTTGGTTGAGTTCAATCGCTGTCTGGAGGAGTGTTCTAGCTGCCGGGTGCTCGAAATGTGGTTTCTCCAATCAACATCACGCAAATGTTGCAGTAATACTCTAACAAATGGTCCGCCTGATCTTTCCTTGTTTATTTTTCTCTCCTTGTACACACACGAAATAAAATCTCTCACAAGACGGTTGACCAGTTGAAAACTTAGAACTCCGCAAGCCGTTGTATAGTTAGTTCGCCGACACCGTTCACCTTCCAACATACATTAATTCATGGCAGCAGTTCACGCGACCAATAAAAACAAAAATTAATTTTTCAATCCATCGATGTAAAATTTTCCCCACTTCCGACACGTTGAGTTAAACAAAACAGACTTCATTAAAATGAATAAAATCTCAAGAAGTTTTAAAACAGTTTTCACAAACATCTTAATCACAATATATATTTTTGATTAAATGTAACGTTAATTTGTATTTATAAAACGAAATAATATTATCACAAAAATGTTCGGAGAACGTTCATTTTTCATCAACTCTCACGTTTCGCTACTGTTCACATTTGTGCAGTCCTTCCTCCGAAAGCAGGCTTATTTTCTTTTGAATGACTTTTAATTTATGTAAAATTTTCGAAAGCGGATAGGTTTAAGTGTAGCGGCAGTAAGAGCTGCTACAGATAATTTTTACGTTAAGTTGAAAGTAACATGTCAGAGAGAAGATTTTATAATAATGGCTTATTTTCGTTGCCCCTGTGTAAATAAATAAATAACTGTTAATTGTGTGCAGGCTATTGTATCTACACTACACTTTACAACACATGTATAATATGATACATATAACATTCCTGTGCAAACATTGTCATATAATCTCTCTTACAATACACATATGTATGTATACAGAAATATCTAACAAAATAAATTCATTAAAAAAATCTAAAGAAACACAAAAACCCTCTTTACAGACAAGTCTTCTAAGGTTTCGGGTTATATTTTCAGTGCTCGGTGCTCAAGCGCTCAGAATTCAGTATAACGAGTCTAAAATGTCAAAAAAGATAAAATGACATTTTCACGTAAAGAACAAAGTAGTTACAAACATTTTTTTACTCAAAATCAACCGCCTTTAAATTCTTATTTAGCTTTTTATTCGTTTTTCCAACTCCAGCAAAGCGGGCGATTTCAACTGGAAGATATACAAAAAATGTCGTGGAAATATCAGTTTTAAATAAAATATTTAAACGCGAGCAGATTGCTCATGATAAACGAGTGAATAATACGTAACGGGTCAGTCAAACGATTGAGGTCTCCATTAACGTTCTGGCCGAATGGTGCGTTCTTCCAGAAAACAGTTGCTTCACCTTCAGTTGAGCTTGCATACAGATCTATTCAAATTACTGTATTATTAAAATTAAAATGTAATATTGAAAAACACTAACCTATTTTCAAATATGGCGTTATAACAAGTTCGAAAGTTCGTAGGGCAGCTGAAGTTCTGAAGGTTTCCAAGACGTCTATCGTTTCCTGGGTCACAATGCCGCAGAATAAGTTTTCTAGCGAATGTTGTTACCTCTAAATGACAATCGATACCGCGGTACACACGTATTGACGTATTAGTCTAAGAATAGTGTTGCAGCCATTTACATGCTAATTGCTAAAGAACGCACTGACAAAATGAGTGCAGTTATGCAGTAATGTTGCAAGCAGTGGCCATGCAGTAGCTGTCAAAGCGGACCCTTCGTATAGACATCTCTCATGGAAATGGGAAAGTCTTTAAATAGCGGAAAAAAAGTTTGTCACGATCACAGTGTGAATGACGGCGAGAGTGCAGAGCAGAAATTTGTTACCCGGCTGCGTGTCATTCCTGTAGATACTTGATGTGAAAACTGAGAAATTCGCGACCTATTTAAGATGTCATCATCGACATAATTTCTGTACAACTTATGTTATTTTATTAATGACTGAAGACAAATTCGCGAGTACGTACCCACACAAAATTAGATAGGTCATTAAAGAATGGCAAAACTTTTTTAGTCCCAACGTCTATTACTGAAGTTGCAACTCAAATGAATACGCTCTTGCCCAGAACTAGCGCGATTTATAAAACAAAGCATAGAAAATGTGTCTATACTGTTTGTTATTTTTCTCTCCCTCTCGAGCACTTCATTCGCCTCGGCCATTTGCTCAAAGCACATCGGGCTCACCGTGCAATTTGACGTGCATAATTTTCTTTAAAAAGAAATTCGAGTAAGTTTCTTGTAGAGCGTATTTCTTAAATCATCCGCTATCGCAGAGCAGAGACCGCCAACGCTACAGCTGGCAGCTTCACACTATAAGATGAGGACGTATCGGTTATTTTCTTGTCAGTTCCATTGATTATTTTAAATGAAATACCGTAAAGTTTTAATCTATTGCAACATACGAAGACTTTGCGAGGACGATTCTTGAAAAGGAAATTCCATCGATGTAGCCACCTGTGCTACTGTACTGCTCTACGCCTTCCAGTCTGCTACCTGGCGCAACCCCATTAAAATCAGAGTGGTGTTTAATTTAAATAGGGATTTATTTAGTCAAACAACAGTAAAAACTGTATGTGACGTATGGGGGAGGAGATCATCTGCACACATTTTCTTGAGTTCCAGAATCCCTTTCCGTCATTTTAGCTATACATAGTCGAAAGATGAACAAAAGTTAAAAATAAATAAATAAAACTTAAATGTAAAAAAGAGGGAGATTAGCGGTGTTTGAAAAACTAGATATTTTCGTTCCCGAGTTATAGACAACTTATTTGTGACGGTAAACGAGCTGAAGTTTTGATTTTTCTGCATTGCTAAAAAAATAGTAACTCACCCTTACCTCTACTCTAAGCATATTAAGTCATTAAAAAATTATACAATACAAATGTTTCAACTAATTAATTTTACTTCGGATTTGTTAAAATAAACATTTTTTTCTTGATGATCAGTGTAGTCTCTAATTATATAGAAACAGTTATCCAGCAGAAAAGATTTTACTTGTAACTTAAATTTGAATACCGACTTCAATTGTTCGACTTCAAATCGTCTGGCAATGCGTTGTAAAGTATTGTACGTGGATTTCTGGTAGTGAGTATTGATACTGACAGTTGATGAACATTATTTTTACGACGTGTGTTTTAATTGTAAATATCAGTATTGCATGAATATATGTTCGTACCGTAAAATAAATCAGTTTTGACAAATATTACTGATGTTTATAAAACAAATTTAATATAATTAAATAATAATAATAATAATAATAATAATAATAAAATTATATAAATTAGAATTAGTACCGAGAGTCGTTAATTATTTAGCAAACATAACAACAAAAGCAATGCTGCTGACTTTGTTTTCAACATATCTATACATGTTGAAGAAAGTACAGCGTCTGCAACGCTCAATACCTTTGAAGTTTTAACTTGAGGTGTACATATTTTCTTGCATTATCTGCGTTCATTTCGATAGTTAGTAATATCTAACTTCTACAAATGAAACAAACATGAGTAAATTTAAATATGCAATATTTACAGCACATTACACAGAAAAGAAATAGTATTTTACTCGAGCTTGCTTTGATTACATCGAAATGAGGCTACAATTTGTTAAGATCACAATCAGCAATTGCTAAATCAAAAGAAATGTAATTGTTAGTTCTACGTTAAATATATTACTTTTGTGAAAATTGTATCTACTCGTATTGTAGTTTTCGACCATGGCCACTGGTAATAATGAGAAGAGTTCGGATATAATTTGAAACCAAATTGCCAATTTGCGAACTGACAAGAGTGGCAAATGAAGCGTGGAAAGTTCGAATTTACGATTTACCATTTTTTTGTTAATGAAATACGTTCAGCAAATCAGATATTTAAATAGGGTCATGTTGATTTTCTTTAAATGAGTATTTTTGCAATTGTTTTTACGTCATAGGCAATTTTTAAATTTTAAGCAATTATTTTCCCAGAAACAGCTTCAAATTCCTTTCTTTAGATTTTTGATCAGGGATCTATCAAATAACGGTAAGGAAAGCAGTATTAGTCCCAATTTCGGGACACACTGTATTTTTGAAAATGGGAAAAAAAATCTAAATCGAAAATTTTTCTTGCTTTGTTTGAGGCGGTGTCAATCTGGAAGTAATTTGATGGGTGCTTGGAGGTATATTTGATATTCTGAGAATCCCTTCCCATTGTTTAATTAACATTAATTTAATAAATTAGCCTAATATTACAAATCGTTGAACATTAGTAATTTAATTTGTTTATTAGTACTAGTTGTTTATCGGCAGTGTTTCAAAATAATATTTCATGCAGCGTTGCAATAGAAATTGCGATATACGAGTTTGAGAAGATATAAGAATTTCATTGTTGGACGGTGACATCAATGGGATAACGATAGAGTAAAGTGGCTTTATTTACTAAACGGTAATGTTACAATGTCACTACGTTCAATAAGAACGTTACATTCGTGTTGCAACGTCAAAGTTTTCCCTGTATGACTAATGTCTGAATATTTCCTTGAAGGTTAGGGTACGTTTTGTGTTAGTGTTAGAATAGTTTTTCTTCCATACGTTGGGGGTCGTCTCGATCCATATTCTACTGCCTCAAACCAGGTACTTGGAATAGTGCAATTAGTGTAAACACTACATTCATTTACTTGGTTTCTTTGAATTCTTGAAGAGTGCAAAAAATGGTCTTTCAATCCATTAACTTCCCGGTTTGAGCACTTGAGCGCAGATGCATTTCGCAACTTGTGTTATCGTGAATTCATTTCGAAGTCTCCGGCTTCTGCACCATCTTCTCACGGTTCATATCAATACAAGAATTATTTATTTTCGACATGATTTTCAGGATAAAATGTACATATTTTTTCTATAATTACTGTTTTATAAGTGTTCTTAAAATGGTCTGGGTATTGTACTAACGTACTACCTTGCTACGTGGAAGAGAGCAATCACTATAAAGCATTTTAAGAAGCATTCCTGGAAGCATATTTCGAGAATTATATACTTCATATTTCATTGCGTGATTCGTTCATCCTTGAGTTTTGTGCATCATTGAATGAATAACATAGTCGTACACGTACTAACAATTAAATTAAACCATTACTGAATTTTTATACCTAAGGGCCGTCTCAATGTAGTTTTCTCTCCAACGATTAACAAAGTTAGTATTGAGAAGCGTTTGGAGGTAAGTTGTGATTTCAATCGCCACACTATTGTATTATAGTGATTATAAGTAAATCATTTTGACTTGAAACCAGAAGGCTTGTTCTACACTGAAGAATATGGTCAACAATTGTAACAAAAATCATAGTTCAATAAAGCTAGGAGAGCTTTAGAGACTAGTCTAACTCTTTGAATCATGCGTAAGAATATAAACGATTACTATTGCGAAGTTATTTATACATCGGCGATATGTCCTGCATTATTAATACGTTTACGATGTGCCTTGCAACACTTCGGCTATTTCTGTTTTATAAGGATCGCAGGAGCCTCACCTGACGCTATTGTAATGCCTGTCCAAGGGTTTAAGTTTCGACGGTGGCAGGATTTTCGACACTAGGTAGGTAGTTAGGCCGAATTCAGCTGCTGTCTGAAATATTCTAGCGACTAGCTAACTAGACGTAATTTCTATCTACACCAGGCAAATGCAGGAACAGTACCTCACGAAACGAACCACGCGCGGTCATTCCTTCCCTTTACTTGTCGTATCATGACCCCTTACACATACACACGCATGCATTACACTATCACGCATGACAGGAGACCAGACGGGAGCTTAGGTTTGTCCCGGCTAGGGTGGTGGCAGATACCTGGATGTGGGAAACCTCGCAAGCCGACATGTAAATCGACACCGGATCACGCCATCCAAAGAAGTAACGACTCTGCCAGCTCCCTTCAAACAAACGAACTACACCGTAGCCAGTGTCGCGACTGGAAATAGTCATTCCATAAGCAGTGTACGAAGAAGCATTGTGTTGGAAACTCCAGAGCAAGTGTACAACCTCCGAATGACGAGAATTAGAGTTGATGGTTCTTTTCGTAGATTCTGACTTCGTAACACTAATCGAATGGTTGATTAGTATGTTTCTGTATCCAATTAATAAAGAGAACTATAATGCTTCTTTCGAACTGCCAGAAAGCATCAACAAAGAATATGTGACAAAACAAAATAGCTTTAAACCTTGTTTCAAAGACCTGACAACAGTAGAAAACTGTGTAAGTAAAATTCGAATTACCAAAAAAAAGTTATAAAATTCGAAATACCAATACGATTTTGGTTTCTCATCACGTACGGTCAATTCCGCACAGTTTTAACCCATTTTTTGTAATAGTTTTTGGTGTTTATCCCTCATCACAACAAGTCTCTCCGACTTCCCAAGAATCTGAGAGCGAAAGTGAGGAACTAGTGGTGGGGTGGAGGACATTCTGTTTAGCAGCAGATCGGGTTGGATGTAGCAGCAGTCTCGTCACCCAACATGCATAGCAAAGCGTCATCACTATTTCTAAGACCAGGACAAACCTGTTCAAAATCAAACAAAAAAAGAAACTCCAAATAATTTAAAACCTAGCTCTAAGCTGAATAATAATTGCTCTATGGTTTATAACAAATGGACTAGTTCATTCAAACCTGTCAATAGACCCACTCCCAGAAAAAAGATTGAAAGCTTTTTTACTATCTTACTATCACGACCCAGCACTGAAATATTCATTCTCGGGGATTCGTCACCATTTCCTCCAGGAAGATACCGACCCACAAAAGTATTTCTCCGATCTCCTTAACTCACTTCTCAAATCCATTCCTTACGAAAAGAAAAGAAACTACTAAACCATAGGAACAATTGTACTTAGCAAAAAGTAGCATAAAGATATTAAAAAGTATCTCAACCGGCTGCAAATGTATCCCTTCAAAGTTCTCCCTCGATTATTCTTAACTATACTTATTTTGTCGGGGCGTTGCTACGTAAGATTTGTTTACCCATTCTGCTATTTACTGTTCATTTCTCATAACATCTGTTATGAACTTATTCTACATAAAACCAATAGATTTCCATTCTGAAAGTTAAAATGTAAGGTTTTAAACAAAATGTAACAACAAAAAACCAACTGCACTAAAATATCCTAAAAGGCAGAAAAACTGCCCAACAAGGAAAATAAATAGTAAAAAAAAGTATACAGACACTAGTAAAACCGGTTCATTCAGGACATGCATAGCGCGTTAAAAGTTTAATTATTAGCGCTAATTCTAAACGTGAGATGATTCTCAGACGCTCAAATAAATCTGAAGTTCAACAAAATACAAATATTTTCATCTTACCACATCCCCTACTACTGAACATAATGTATCATCAACTTAAGGTTGTATACTTAATTGAAAACTAAACGAAGGTCAATAAGGGTGTCAAGAAATGGTGTATGACACATAGTAAAAGTGATTTTATTTTGCTCGTAAGTTTGCGTCAATCTCGACTTGCAACCTTTTCCCACCACCGCTCGAGTTGCAACCTTTCCTATTCGCAAAATAAAATGTCACTTTTGCAAACCTATTCTTTAAAATGATCTCGCCACAACATTTGCGCAGGGTTTTTGCACTTGGACGAAGCAGCTCCAGGCAACGCGGGGCTGAAGGACCAGATGATGGCCTTGCGCTGGGTGCAGAGGAACATCGCTGCCTTCGGAGGAGACCCCAACAAGGTCACGATTGCAGGGGGAAGTGCTGGCGCTGGATCGGTCCACATGCAGATGCTGTCACCTCTGACAAAAGGCAAGTTCTACCTTACCGTGCCTTTCACTCACACGCAGACGTTCACTCTAATAACCGAAACTAACCCGTGCAACTTTCGCGTTCACGCTGTCATCACATAGAAAATCAAAAATAAATGAAATTTCGTCGGATCATTTTCAAAACATTCGGTCTTCCATTAGCGAATATATTCAACGGATGAGTAACAGATTTTTCACCCTTATTCCGTCGTGTACAAGTGCACAAATATTTGATCTAGGCAAAAATGCTTCCATCCCAACCCGCATTATCTCTCGATACCCCAAAGACTCTCTTAAACCACCTTAAATTAGAATATTTTCCATCCCCTCCCATTAATCAATTCCACTACTGCAAAAAAATCAAATTAATGCATTAATTAAAAAAAATTAAATACATTTCTTTTGAATTACTGCTCTGCAGACTTTGTTTACGAGGTAGCCGTGTGGTCCTCCTCAAATACTGTCAGCCGAAAGGCCAAAAATTATGTGTAATAATAAATTGTAAATTAAAATCCCTGAAAGGCATATTATGCCGAAAAGGCAGAAAAATAAATAAAAAAAACATTCGAAGATTGTTTTACAAAGACACTGTTTTACGAGAGCACTATGATGGAATGCGATGAGGACGGAACAACAGAAATTTCTAGAAGTTTCAAACCCCTAAGTTGATGTTCATTTTTTTCATCGATGCTCATTTAAAAACAGTATCACATCACTGTCCGTCGTTTGCGCTAGCTCAGAGCTCGGAAATTCTACAACACGCCTCAACATTGGCCCCAGAGTGTAGCGCCCGCAAATTAGAAATCGAAACTATTTTTTTAAAATTTGTTGCGTTTTCAATTGACGCAAGGCGTCTCCTAATCGCTAGAAGGGCGTTGAGCGCTTGGCGCTTTAGGAGTAATCCTCCATTACTTTTACATTGTTATATCCGTCACTTTCCGCCGAGAGAACCGCCAGGTAACATCTTCGTCTACGCGACTCCTACGCACCTACGCGCTCCTTCGTCACTACCCAGCGGCCAGAATTTGGAAAGGAATTGGGATTGGGTAGGGTTTAGAACAATTCACAGGGATTGGACTAGCTGTTGTGAAGCAGCCACAATGATTGGAACAAATTTTACATGAGATTGTCCGTGATCCGACGGGAATCAAACCTGGGCCTCCTTGGTGAAAGGCGAGCAACTTTGCTTTGAGCCACCAGATGATAGTCTTCGTCAAACATTAATCGCAGTAGCTAACTCTTGTGACAGCTGTATTATAGCTGTGTATAGCTGACGACAAACGGGTTGAAAGGGTAAGAGATACGCAAAATTTTGTGACGTAAAAGACAACCTCATTAAGACACAAAAACAACAACAAACATTAAAAGTTAAATTTAACACGATTTAATTATACATAGAAAGCAATCGTTTTTGTTAATATAAATAGTAAAAACAATATTTTGAATAGAACCCTGTTTACTAATTTCAAATGAACTGTTAGTCTTCTTTACCATGAAAACTTTTGTATATTCGTATCCTTTTTTACTCGTTCGATCACTAATTACGCAGAAAAAGTATTATTTTGCTGCGAAGAAAGCCGTATTTCGTCAGAAAAACCCATATTGTATGCCTCTGATACCGATTAAGGCATACTTCTAGGCACTTATATTTTTAAATACCTTTCCCTGGTAGACTTTGTAGCCAGAATTTACATTTTGTGTGTCGTTTATAAAGAAAAATTGCTTTACGGCAAAACTGTATGAACGACACTAGCTGATTTCCTCCAAACTGGTACTTCCCGATTGGTCGGCCTCATGTGGCAGCCCCCTGAATTTGAAACGGATATTATTAACTATTTCAATTATTTGCCAAATTTTATTAAATACAGTCATAATTTAGAACATTTTTGAAAGAATCCGAAACTATTTCTTTCTTCCATTTAAGGGTTTTAAAATTCTTATTTATATTGCAGTATTATTAGCTGATATTAACACTATCCAGCGTAATCGACCCAACATTTACTTGATATTAATGCTGTTTTTTAGTGCTAACAAGAGTCTCTATTAATGTCCACTTCCATAATTCCAGTTATCTTTTCTTAATATCTAGTATTATGATTTTTCTTTGCAAATTTTCTTTCTTATAATTCTGAACTGCTAATCATTATTGAACATGCCTGTAATTTAAGTCTATGTAGAAGTAAAAATGTGGAGCTATTTCGCAGAACAATTCTAAAAGGTTGCGGTTTCATGCGAAGTACCTCGAAAATCACAATTCGTTTGAAATCCACAGAGCTTCGAGTTCGGACAAATCAATCGAGGAATGACAATTGGGACAAATCCTACTAACATTAGTTCCAAAAGTTCGTGTACCTCCACAGCGCGAGAGTTTAAAACGTATAATGTCGTCAATTTATTATTATGTTTTCTACATTTTCGTATTGTTGAAGAAATTTTCCACAAACATCTTTGAAGTTTTTATAAACTTTCAGCCTCGAAGTAAGACAAATGGTTTTTTTTTCGTTCTGATGCGTTTCTGAGATCAATAAACGTTGTGAAGTTGGTCTGAAACAAAGGAACTTTTATTTTAACTTCTGATACAAAAACAATAACATACCGAACCAGCTCAATTTAAAGCCATGTAATGATAGTACTGATCTCCCGGCCGCCAATCAAGTGAATTGGATATAATGAAATGACGCTTAAAAGATCAAGAAGTAAAATTATGGCCGAGTGTAAATCAAACGTTTGTGTAGCAAACTTCATAGAGACTTCGCTGTCATCTCTTGATATTAGTGTACGGGCTCAGTCTTTTAGGCTCAGTATTTTAATTCGTTCTTTTTTTTGTTTGTTTTCAGTTTAATCGTCACTCTACCTTAATAAACATGGTCACTGTAAAATTAAAGTGTGTTTCTGAGGAATTTTAAAGATTACTAAACCAGTTTTAAAACATCGTGTCAATGTTTAAAAATATAGATGTTTCACCGATATTTAAAAACATCGATGGATTTTGATCGATATTTTATTAAAAGATACTGTTTTTACACGCCATACGGAATACTATTATCGATTTGTTTGCGCATGTGTAGATGCATTAAAGTAATGCGAAACGTGAGCTGCGCACGCGCAGATCTATAATGCTTAAACGTTTGAGAGTACACAACCTAAGAACCATTAAAAATAGTTCTCGGTGTAACCACTATCATTATTTTGTATTATAAGAGAGGAATTCATCCATCTTTTAATTGCTAATTTCTAATTAGTGCCAACATATCTACAGTGAATTTACTACATTGTCTTCTTTTGTGAGAGTGTTCATTGATCACATTTGTTTGTAATTTCCAATTAATTGTTAATTAGATGTCGTTAATTTACCATGCATTTACTAATTTTCCTGTGAATTGAACATTTCAAATAACAAACCAATTTCAGGAAAAAGGTTCGACTGCAAATCCTAAATTTTCGAGCCGTTTTTAAGAAAACGCTAAAGCGCTACTGTAAATGCAAAATTTGAACCTCTTTTCACAGAAAACTTCCGTTTCAGACAAACGTCGTAGGATGTCATTTCAATCACTTCCAATCATAAATGCAAGTGTTTACAAGTCGCTGGAAATGTGTAAATTAAAAACGTCTTTCAAATAAATTATATTAGCGTTATTTTTGAAAGACAAAGAAATATTCCGAAATGAACTTAACATCGCATTAAAGACTGCAATTAGCAGTATCCCTTCGAAAAGTTTGTAGTTAAAGTTTAGAGCCGAATTTAAGAAAATGGCATTTGGGCGTTTCTGAAAATGCAGAAATTTGACCTTGAACTCTTCACAGATGGTTGAGTTTTCGAGAAATTTTATTTGACATTACTTAAAGCACATGTACACATAAATATAATGTAAACAAATTGACGCTAATATAAATATTAACGAGAGAAAGTAAAAAAATTACATTTTTTAATTAAAAAATACAATTGAGCAATATGCCGTCTATGTCATCTTGTAGAATACATTTATCACTATCCCCAACAAAATTTAAAGAAAAATGTAGTCATTTTTGAGAAAATATTGTTTTTGTAATTTAAACATTTCAACATATTGCACTCAATATTGCGCGAAGACTACTGAAATTTTCAAAATAATGTACTTTACCTTAATGAAAGAACTCATTATAGAGAACACATTTTATTTGAAGGAAACATTTCTATCTTTATTTTTGTAGTTGTAGGAAGACACGGGAAAAAACTCAAACTTTTAACGTTTTCAAAAATTTAATTAACCGTGAAATTGGACCTATACTACCTACTCTATTCTTACAAGAAATTTAAAGAAAACATTTGGAGCTGTTTTTGAGAAACTTTTGGAAATTTCTGGAGAACTTCATGTAAATTACTCCCAAATTTTGAAGAATGTTTTTTAAAATCTCAAAGTTTCGACTCGTGCCAGATGGACAAGGGATTCTGCAATTTGGAAAAAATCCTAGGCATGATTTAAGCTCTGGTGTGTTCACAGACGGACGTTTTGAAAATAACCACTTTTTCGGTAATAGAGGACCCCAAAACGTGTATTTCTGTAGAAATCTCGAAACCGATTTTCCGAAGCATTACATAACTTTCCCTATACTATGTATATACTCAGTATATACTCCGTATATGCGTACATATTTTGGAAAGTAAAAAGCATTTCGGTGCTTCGAACCAGAGAAAGTTATCGAAGGTGAGAAGATTAGGCGCTGCCACAATAGGAGTCTCAGCTACAGTCTACAGCTAACAGACAGTACCCTATCAAGTATGTTTTGATATTAGCCGAACGGAGGCAAATGGTTCATCTAGTTTAAATATATTGCTTTAATTTAAGGTTACAAAAAATGTTGAAGACAATATACTTTATTTTATAACAATTAGAAAAATTAGGTTTGATTTACGC